CAGGGCAGATTCATAATTAGCAGAAGGGGACAGAGTACAAGTATTCCATTCTGTAGCAGTTGTAATCATTGAAAGGACACAACTGTAGAGAGTGCCAGGAAAAGGTATTCATTAAACAAGAGAAATGATATCCCAAACTCGCATCCAAAACAAAATTGTACCGCCAGGTAGTTTTCCAGAGTATGATGTGTGATTAAGTGTAACCCCCAGCACCCAAAATAAACCAGCCACAACAAGAAAATAAATGCAGGATATACAAAAATGGTATCTTCTTCTACTGCCATAGAACCCGAATTTTGCCTTTTTTGCTTGGTTCTTCTGAAACACTGTTGTGCTTCACTGTATACTGAAATACAGTCAATGCAAAGCTACAGGAATTCAAGGTAGCACAGAGAGAGGAGTCTCCTGTTCTGTAGGGAAGAGACAGAACTGCTGAAGTCAGGCAGATGTGATCAACAGGGATGATGTGTGACAGGGCAAGTAAGTTTTAAGTAATGCCATCATCGTGTAGAATAACTAGCAGTTCAAGAGTGTGCATGAGATGCTGTGTATCTGCTTATGAAAGTTTCCTCATTGGACCATCAGCAGTTGACACAGCTGAGATTATTGGGGAATGTGTTATCTACCTTCACCTTGCCTTTGTAGTGAGGTCATTTTAGCTACCCTTGACATTCTGCAAGGCAGTTGCATGATCAGTCCATAGTTATGCATTAATGAAGTATAGGGAACTTACATAACTAATAAAAAACCCTTTGCCTCCCCTCCCCCCTTTTGTTATATTTCTAAGAACAATCTCAGATCATTAAAGAGAGATGCAGTGAAAGGAAAAAAGTTGAGAGTGAATAAGATAATCTGAGTGGTGAGAAGTAAAGTAACAGTATATTTAGGTACCTGAGGGGAGAAAAGATTGAGTGCTGTCCTTTTGCAGTAAGGTGAAAAAGAGAAGGAGGTAAGCAGAAAAATGGTAAAGATGGTCCAAAAAAGGTAGTACTGATTAAAAGAACTGAGGTGAATATGCTGACTGGAAAGCGCCTGGAGGAAGGATAAAGGATGCATTGATGAACAAACGGTGAAAAAGATCTAATCTGGAATTGGTGAGCAGGAGAGACATCATCCTGGAGCCCATAATGAGATGACTTCCTCCCTTTGTAGAATGGCAAATCAGTATTTGTTAGCAAGAAAGCAGTGATATATTTGCAATTTTGTCTAGAACTATGTAGCTCACCAAAGAATGGATGTTAAAATGCTACAGCTGTTCTTTGAAATCTGCTGCAGTCTTACATATGTGAAGTAACTTGTTTGTGCTTCAACTGTTCGGTTACATCAGCAGTTCGTGCCTCAGCTCCCTACAGAAGCTTGGTTTAAATGTTAATCATTTTTATGTTCTAGCTTCTTTTTGTGGTGGAAACTTTTTCTGTCCTGGTTACCGGTATTGAGCATTTAGAAAGGAAGTCTGTTTCCATTATCTATTAAATAATTGCACTTTCTGTCCAGTTAATGATTCTTCAAGAAATCATTACCAAGCTTTCAGAAGCCCTTAAGCCATACATATTAATGGATACAGCAGTAACGTTAGCTAAACTGTTCTCCTGGCTTTGGTGGAGTGCAAGTGTCGTTGGAGTTTTGCATGGGCTTTTGTGCCATTGTGGGGGTTGGCATTAGTGAAAGACTTCTTTGTAAGCAGAGAAATACTGGTAGTGGTTAATCTGTATGTGAGCAGATGCTTTGATGTAACCTTTGTCTGTGTGCCAGCTGTAGCACATGGAGTTTTCAGGGTACAGTGACCATGAGATTTTGGCCAAAACCCTGTATATTTCATCTCTGGGAACAAATTACAGCAACAGTTGGATGAGTTGTGTACATTCTGACCTTAGCTGTGGAGATGCTTTAGACCTACAGACAGGTTTGATTTTTCATGTGGTCTAGTGGTTTTATTTCTTTTTAGAGGAAATCAAGGATGATTCTAGATTTGCTTCATATTGCAGCTTGGTAGCTGCAAAGCTTGTTTGATGGTGATGTGTACATCTGCCCTTTGTGAAGACTTCTTCCTCTCAAACATGGCTGTGGCCCATGTTCATGTCTTTCAGCAGCATGCTCTGAAAGTTTGTGGCTTCCTTGTTCAGGATTGGTTTATGCTTGGTTCTTGTTTGCTGTTTACTGCTGCTAGTTAGAAACTATTTTAAGTAAAGCAGTGCCCTCTGATTTGACCATTTATAACCTTGATAGTTTTATCTGTATTAATTAGTTTCTGAAATGCTATGTAGATAAGTCCTTAATTTCATGGCGAGTGACTGAGATTTCACTGGTTAGTGTGTTCTTTTTTATTATTATTGTTACTATTGTTGTTGTTATTATTATAAATAATATTATATTGCATGTTCTTGAGCTTCTGTGTGAGTTACTTACCATAGCACCAGTGTTGTGACTCGCGATTCTTGCTAAATCTACTATACAACACCCTACTAATGGGTGCTTTCTGTGTGGTGGTGTGGGAGAAGGAAATTTGGCTTGGAAAGCCAAGCGTTGTTTTAACTGCAAAATCAAGCAAAATCTGTATCTGCTGATGGCTCTTAGAATAATTCCAGTTACAAAATTGCAGACACCTCTATGTGTGTGTACAACTTGTGTATGCTGGATTTGAAGATGCAAGTATAGAAGTCTTAATTTTTGAGAGTTTGTACTATTAGAGTTTTATCTTCAGTAGGCAAACTTAAATGGACTGCTAATAAATAAAAATACAAAGGGATGTGCATGACAGAGAAACATGAACTGAAACTACAAGAGAAGATTGAACTGGGAAAGGGAAGAAGAGAAATACTGTTATGATCCACTCTAAAAAGCTTCACGTGATGTATGGGGTGCTAGTGAAGTAAGGTAGCTCTTTGTAGTGTGTCTTTGCTTCAGTGAGAAAATCATTGTGTATATTTGCCACCTGATGAGACAAATATTTTTAGGTGAGATTCTTGAATGCATTAAAGAGAAGAAAACAAAAGAAAAGAAAATGCATAGCCCTAATGTTAACAGGGATCCTAATATAGTAACAAGTATGCAGGGCAATGAATAATAGATGTGAGAGCTTCTGATTGTTCTGTAGACTGTAAATAAAGTAAAGGTGCCTGCTATCATAATGCCTTAGAGTAAAAGACTTTGCAGGAAAAACTGGTAATTATTGTTAGTTTTCCTTTGGAAATTTCCTTCCTTAGGTGCTTCTTCAAGCTTTAAAAAGTGTGTACGTGGGTGGAGAACATATAAGCTGAAAATAAAAACCTCTGTGTGGTTCTGTTCCTTCTGCAATTGCCAAAATATTTGCAGTTCAAAGTATTAACCTTTTATGACTACTTAGATCACTGCTACCACTGTAGACCTCAGATGATTAATTAATTCAGGATATATGGTATCTTATGCAAATATCACTAGTGTTGTTTTCCCACAATTGTCACAGCTCTTATTCAAAGAAAAGTGTTGCCACTTCATGCTTTCATACTGCAAATGAATCAAATGTAAGCGAAGTTAAAAAAATTACACAGCAGATAGATTGATGAAGTCTGAAATGCTCGCTTTTGGTTCAGACAGAATGGTCAAATCCTCTATTTCAAGAAGAAAAAACGTAATTGTTTTGGGAGAGCTGTGAATGGAACACAGGAATTAAACACAAGACTCAATTTGTAGTTATCTGGAATGTGTTCTTTTCCTTGAATCTGTAGCTCAAACAGATAGGGAAGAGAGGAATGTCTGTAGCAGTAGCAGCAATCGTGGTTACTCAATTACTGAAGCTGAATGCTCCTTTGTGCTACAAATGAGAACCTCTCTAGTTCCAGAAGATGCTACATTACTTCTTACGAAAAAGTGAAAAATCAATAAGACTTGATCCATGAGATCAAATGCATCTGACAGATGTAGTTGCTAAATACATGATCTTTAACTGTCATTATGAAATTTGGGTGCTGGTGCTTGCAGTATATTTTAGCAAACCCTTGATTTTCTTTAATCTTTCCTTGATTTTTCCATCATTTGCTTACATTGTTTCTTTTCTTTTTTACCACCATGTCTTAGAATATACGGAGTAAATTTCAGCCCTTTTTCATAGAATCATAGAATGGTTTGGGTTGGAAAGGACCTTAAGATCATCTAGTTACACCCCCCCTGCCATGAGCAGGGACACCTCGCACTAAACTATGTTGCCCAAGGCTTTGTCCAACCTGGCTTTGAACACCGCCAGGGTTGGAGCATTCACAACTTCCTTTTCAGGCTTTGCTGAAGGTGAGGTGAATCCAATCCATGTTCTTCAGCCACACAGAACCTAGACTGAAGTCGTAGCAGTAGCCCTGAAAAATGTTTATAGTGGGAATTCTGTGTGCTAATGTATGGCAGCTGAATCTGTTAATGATAGACAACCTTGGGGTGAAAAAAGAGGGCATGCCCGTGGCTACAGAAATTGTGAGGTTTTATAAACATGTATGAAGAGTGTTCAGAATTAGAAGGGAGCTTGGGTTTATTTCAAGTGTGGTATGGAACGGGCATTTTATCTGCATTTTGGGCTTCAGCACTATGTGTATTAGAAAAATAATCCATTTTCATTTAGTTTACTCATAGCCCTTGTTTGTTCTTGCTTTTTATCCCCCAGCCTGTCTCAAACAAACAAACAGGAAGTGTGAATATTTTAGCTGTCGTGTATTTTTTTATGCTTTTAGAAGATCTGCAATCCAACCAAGTGTTAAATGGCCTTTTTTTAATTAGGAAAATCTTGCCTGTGCAAGCACATTAACTAAATCTGCAAAGCATTTTATTTTAAGTAGACATCAGCAACTAAATTTGGCAATCTGTTTGGAAAGAGAAGTTAAATAATTTAAAATATGCTTGGATTGTACATTATTTAGATGGCTGTTTCAGGCCAGTAGAGTGTCTGCCAAGTTTTAGTTAATTTTAATTAATTTTAGTTAATGACAGCAGTATTCCTCGTTCTGTGCTGAATTTTAAAATCTTTTCGTTGCTAGGATGCCGGGGGAAGTCATCACAAAGTCTCCGTTTCTCCTGTTGTCCATGTCCGAGGGCTGTGTGAATCAGTTGTGGAAGCAGATCTTGTGGAAGCTCTTGAAAAGTTTGGAACCATATGGTATGTCAAGCAGTGTAATGTCACGTCTCTGGACAAGTTGTGAGCATTATTTAAAGGTCACTTGGACCTGTTTGTGATAAGTATTTGAAATCCAGAACTTAGTTAATAGTAAAGCATTAAGATTTTCTAGCTTTCTGAAGATTATGTATTTCTGTACGTGCCAAGTCTGGTCAAGCAGAGTTACAACTGGCTACATGCCCTAGTGTCTGCTTTCCGACGCAGAAGCACAGCTAGTCCTGGCCTTAATATGAGCTCTAGCTAAACTGAATTGCAGAACAGCACAAGGGTGGTTGTCTTGGTATAAGTGAATATACCAAAAATAAGGATAGGTCACACAGCAGATGACGCTTTTTCGTATGGTTTTGTATGGGGGGAGTGCTCATGATATGGTAGAACCTTCAGAATGAGATGAATATTTAGAGAAGGCCCATTCAAAGGTCATATAGCCTAAAGATTTCTCATCTGTGAACAAAATACTAAAGGTGAATGGGTAGAGCCAGCTTATTCTGAGTTTTGAGTCATTCACTTTTTGGAATCGTGCATTTCTTTTCAAGTGAATGCATGTATTGAAGTCAAATAGGGTTTTTTAAATAGGACGACAGTATTTTTTCCATGGTCTTAATATTCAAATAACTGAATAATACTTGTACTAGTATCTTAAAATAAATAAAATTAAGCAAGGACCAGCTTCTTCAAGAATACAAATAAGTACGTTTAGCCTGAAACTTCATTAACTGACAAAGCCTCTTGAGTTTGTCTGTCTGGATTTGGTTAACTACAGTACTTCTGTCTACTTCCTCTATGGTAGTTTTGTGTCAAAAGTAGTATTTTAAATTTCTTAGCAACAGCGAAGAAGTTTAATGTATCAACTTTGAATGTGTTTTATAATTGTCATTCACTTTGATCCCGTACCTCAAATGGCTTTAGTAAGATTTTTTTTTTAATATTAATTGTAATTTTTGTAATTTAGTAAATATTTAAGTGTTTATTTTATTGGTTGAATGTTTTTATTTATTAAACTTCATGAAAACCATTGCTTATTACTTATTTGTCTTATAGCTTCATTTCTTTGTTTTGTGCAAATGCTTTAGGAATGTGTTGACCAGGTTTGGGAAGTGTGAGCAGGGAAACTCGCCTTCCCTATAGTCCTTGCTAGGCGTTGTTTAGAAAAAAAATGACACTTCCAGGACTTTGCATTTGAGTAAGCGTATAGGAAAACTTACTGTAATGTTTCTCTCACCAGTTATGTCATGATGATGCCATTTAAGCGCCAGGCTCTGGTGGAGTTTGAGAATGTAGAAAGCGCAAAGAAATGCGTAACGTTTGCAGCAGATGAACCTGTGTACATTGCTGGGCAGCAGGCTTTTTTCAACTACTCAACAAGTAAGAGGATTACTCGGCCAGGGAACACTGACGACCCGTCTGGTGGAAATAAAGTTCTCTTGTTGTCAATACAGAATCCTCTCTACCCAATTACAGTGGTATGTTTCTTCTTTTTCTTTCATTTTCTTTTTCTTTATAAAATAATTAAGGGTAGGGAGCAGCAATCTTCATTGTTTACCATTTGTTAAAATTATACGCTGTTAACTTGAGTCAGGAATTAAATTAATGTACCAAAGGTTTCTACCATCTTCATGAAAGTAACAGGCATGTTCTGGAAAAAAGGTTTTTTCGGGTGATTCAGTCTCGTACAGACAGGTATTTTGCAATACATTTGAAGGCTTCAGTGGTCAGGATCTTGAAATGTTTAAGTTGCTACGTGCCTTGGAAATATTGCCAAACATGTTGCCATAATATCAAGAATGTCATTTAGAGTTTTTAGGCTCTGAGTGGTGTAAGTTTAAATAGCAATATTTTTTTCCAGTCTAGGGGGTTATTATGCAGTCCTTCATTCTGAAGTGTTTCCTTTGTGCGAAGTGGAAACCTTTATTTGTTGATTATCAACTTGAGTTTGATGGAATCTTCCTCACTTTTATTTGGGCTGATACATTATGCTTTTCAGTATTTCAAGTCATACCGTATATACAGTTGCATCCTAATTTATTGCCATCTCTTTATGGCACACGTGCTTTTTTTATGATACAGATCATTTTTTGCTAGTCTTTAAGAAAACGTTTTCTCATGCACTGAATGCTTATATTTTTCATAGAGCTTTTATAGTACACGTTGAATTGCACAGAAATATGCCATGAAAAAATTAAAAGTCTACTTTAAGCAGACTTGTAATTCTGTGATACAAGCCTATGTTACTTGTTCTTAGGGAAATATATGGGATAGTATGGATCAGTCAAAATGTCCGGGTTGTGTGGAACCATATAACTTAAAGCAAACATTGAGTTTTGTTTAATGTGATGTGTATTATGGCAGCAGATTGATTGAAACTTAGTATTCCTGAAATTGCTTCAGTCAGTTCCATGTCATGCGTTTTGCTTCACTGTATTGTGAATACTGATAGGTTTTTGCCTGTTGATTCCTTAATGGATGCTGTATTATTTTTTTCCTGACAGTTTTCTTTATAGAAAAGCATGGCAAGAATGAGGTGCTTTTTCATCAGTGTTTAGAAATACACCTGCTTTGAGCTGTGTGAACAAATCCACTGGAAGTTGAAGTATTCCTTCCATGTGACTATAATACAAATTTCGGAAACTGAGTTTCATTCATGCATTTGAAATTTGGCTTGCATAAGTGTCTGAGTTGAGTGTAGATGCTTGAGGAAACTGGTAGCAGAAGCATCCTTATGGGCTGGGAGAGTTTCATGGGAATTCTGTGGATGAAACCTGTAGCACTGTAGCTGCTTTTCAAAAACAAACACTCCTCCCTCAACCTCTTCCTTTCTGCTGCCCCCAGCTGTTTGTCTAGAGTATGCCAATGATCGCTAGGAGCAGACTCCTAGCACCGCATTGTAAGCCCAGCCTGATGTGCAGTGAGGCGAGCTTTTCTCCTTACTGTTTGGTTCCCCTGCAGCGCTAAAGGTGGTCTTGAATTCTACCGGTTCCTTGTAGCATAGATAAATGCTGGTGAAAAGAGAGTGTTAACAATGAGTTTGCATTAATCCAGTGTTTCTTGTCAGAAGGTTTCTCTGCCTTAAGGGAAGCAGCACAGCAAACACTTTGCAGTGTCTTTCATGCAGGTGAATAAAAGTGAAATTTTCCTTTTGATAAGCTACCTAAGCTTACATCATGGACTACCCCCAGCTACTCTTCTGAAAGTGAACATGAACCATTAAAAAACCTCTTTCAACCTAATGAAATGAAATGTTCCATAACTACAGCATCACTTTGTCTCTTTTTGCTTTGGTAAAAATACTGCAGTGCACACTTAGAAGGGAGCATAGGTTGAGACATGGATGGAATTACTGGGTTTAACACAGTTGAAGGTACTTTTTTAATGTTTGCATTAGTACTTCTTGGGGAAGTTTTTTCCCTGTTTTTCAGATTTGACTATCTGTACTGTATTAATCCATAAAACCTCTTTGGCATTTAAATACCAATGCAAGAAAATGTTCTGTGGACCTAGTGCTTGAAATGCCACATCTGACTAAAATATTTTTTTCTTCTTTAGGATGTCTTGTACACTGTGTGCAACCCTGTTGGAAAAGTGCAGCGCATTGTTATATTCAAGAGAAATGGAATACAAGCTATGGTTGAATATCCTTTTTGAGTGTGATTTTTTTTTTTTTTGTTGTATTTGCTGTAAATTCTTGACTGCAGATGGGATAAATACTGTGTAATTTTGAGACCAAATTATTTTTTAGTTTCTATGTAAGACATGATAATTTCTGTATGTCTGTAAGCACTTTAAACATTTTATCTTTATAGGAAAATGACATTGTCAACAATGGTCTTGATAACCATGTTTATAGGTGGCCCTAAGGCAGACATGAAATATGTTGTTGGTTTGATAACACATTATACACAAAGCTTCATGGCTTCTGCTGGTGTTGATACTCAAGAAATGGGTATGGGATTGCAGAGGTGCAGTTTGACTTTCTCAGACTCCTCTAAAATAGTTCTAATATATACCGTTTGCGACCAACGTAGGCCTCCTTGACCTGTTCATCATGTGTTGGGGAAATTCCCTGCTCTGTTGTCCTACTGTTTACTCTATTTGTAGTGTTAAGTTGTACATGGAATGAATGTTCAGAGTTGTTAATGTGTTACTGCAGTTTGCAAAGCCCAAAGTCTGATATGATTATGCCTTAGTTTATAAAACTTTGATAGCCCTCTTCCTAGAGACTGATTGCCCTCCATTTCAGAGCTGTTATAGGGACAAAATTGTACCAAAGTCTCAGAAATCCTTTTGTAATTTCAGATGCTTCTGATCTGGCAGGCTTTACTAGTGGGTCACTTTGGTAATGTATGACCTAACCAGTCGTTGCACTAATGATTTGCCACTCAAAAAGAATTACCCTGACTTCCATAAAAGCAAGCTAATTGCTGTGTATCTATGTAGAAGACTTAACTGTGCGCCCTAACAAGCACTAGTGTGACTTACTATGTATTGAGTTTGTGGTAAGCAAGCTGTGTTTTCTGGATCAGGTGAGTTGTACAGTTGGGGGTTATTCTGCAGCTTGTGAAAGATTAGGGAAGTTGTAGAGAGGATCATGCACATAATCTGAGACTACTGTACTTCTGTCCTTTGGATTAAATTCTGCAACATGCGTTTTGGAAAAGAAAATAACCAGCAACTGAAGGAAAACTCAAAACGTGAGCAAAGTAATGCAGCAGTGTAGGTGAACAGCTTGGTGGTGGGGGCAAATAGTGAGCTTTGAGATAAACCTTGTCTGAAAAGTTCAGAAATTGACACAAATTTCAATGCTAACTGCAGTACCCATTACTTTTGCAGATGTGCTCCCACAGTTCTAGCCAGTGTCCAGCAATTTCTTAGAGGCCTGCAAAACTTAACTCTTCTCACTCTTAAATTCCACAGAGAACTTATATCACCTTAGAAGAAGTTGGATTGCAGGAATGTGGTAAAACACAAGGGATATGCTACTGGTACAGACTACTTCCAAAATGTCACTAAAATTATATTGCACGATGGTCTGCTGCAAGGTTCAGGCTCTCTGACACCATATGTTATTGAGAGTGTATGAGATCATGGATTAAGATGTGCCAAGGCTCAGGTACATTTTTCTGCTAGCCATAAAACATAGAGTATGTAGAGGATATGAGATAACCTACATTTGGAGCCTGGTAAATGCATCTGCCTTGAGCAGTGGATTTAAAGCAATCTGCTGCTTGTATTTTTTGATGCAAGATGATTATTTGTTCACTCAAAGTATTTCTCATAGTTCTGTGGTTTTATTTGGCTAACAAGCTAAAAAGGGTGTACTTTTTAGTTTTTTGCTGTAAAGTGATTACTGAGCTGATGTTTTCCCTACCCCCAGGTCTCTAGCTAATGCTTAGTAGTGAAAAGGGATGCATTGTCTTTAATCACACCTTCTCACCCCTGAGCTCTGATCCCTTCCCAAATGCTGCAACTTGAACTTTCCCTTCAAATGTTCTCTAGGCTTTCTGGTAACTTTCTATGTCTTCTGATGAATATTACTAAATCCACCAGAATATCCCCTTCTAAATAGCATAAGATCAGAGCATAAAGGAAGCTGGTGTGTATACTATCCATACTGAAGAATTTACTAATTTATGAACAGTCTCATTATGTGCTGCTTACATCCCAAAACCAGATGGTTAACATAAGTTGAACTCATATGTACTTGTTGATAATTTTTATACTGAAGTTTGTATAGAGATCTTATATACGATAATGAAATATCCACAGGCTACAAATATGAAGCCATATGAGAAGGGGCATGAATGAGCCACCTGGGGGAAAAAAATCCTTAACGTGATGTGTATGTTTGAATCAGTGTTTTGTGCCCAGAAGGCGAAGGCTGCACTCAATGGAGCAGATATCTATGCAGGATGCTGCACACTAAAAATTGAATATGCAAGGGTAATGCTTGGACCTTCTCTTTTAATTTTACTAGAAAAATATATATACGCAAGACTTAACCTTTTTTGCTTTTACTCTATTTGAACAGCCAACTCGACTTAATGTCATTAGAAACGACAATGATAGTTGGGACTACACTAAACCATATCTGGGCCGACGAGGTAGGTTTTCATATGTTACTGCTGTAGATGTTTGACTGTACTAATGACAATCCTTTATACATGGTCAGGCTGTATCGCAATAGTCATTTCAAAGTGCTTCTGAAGGCTCTATTCACAAGCCAGGAAATTAACCCTGAGCCCTAGTGCCCCCCTACTGCCGTGTGCTTGAGCCATTTAGTTCAACAAGGAGCCCACACCTCCAAGCACCTTCGCAGTTCTCAAGGACTTGCATTTCTCCAAGCAGCTCTCTCCCTTTGGAGGAGAGGAAACCTGGTACAGACTATTCCTTACAAACTACAAACTTGCACACTGCTTCTCCTTCGAAAGGACTCTTTCCCCTATGTTGGACGAGGCATTAAGAAGGATAGAGGACTTCAGCAGGCTGACTCTACACTTCATCATGCACCACATCGGCATCAGCAAAAAACCCCCAAACAAACAAACAAACCCTCTGAAAAAACTCAGACTTGCAATTCACCTTGTCTGCATACTGCATGCACCACCACCACAAGTTTTTAAAGGAGGACACTTTCAGTACTTCAGATTTGTATGGGATGAATAACACGATAAGACTGTACCCATTCTGTTCAAGTTTGTATGTATGCTGGCTTATTTCCCTTAAAATTACAACTGAAAATTTGAGAACCTCCAAAATTAAGAACTTGTCTTGTTGATATCATTGACGTTGTAATCTTTTTATTACTTGCTGTATGTGAGAGTTGCATTCAGTCTTAGTGTAAATATTGTCTAGTAGGAGGGACGTTTAATCCTTATCTGTAGACAGTTGGAAATGAGCAGTGCAATATCAGATAGGTCCCCTCAGTTTTATTTAAGTATTAAAATAGGGAGATTCATAATTGGTACAGTCATGCTGTCTCTTAAATACTCAGCTGTAAAAATTACCAGAGCTTAACTCATGTCAGTGGGAACTATAACTATATATGTAAAGACAAACTGCTGTGTAGCCTAACTCCTGTAAAGTGTTTATTAAAAAAATAATAATCTGTAACTATTGAGTGCAGTGTTCAGTAACTTCTGTACAATAATGTGTGCAATGTAAAGGTAGAAAAGTGAAGACAATGTGTCCAAGATAGATTATCTACTTATGAAAGGCTATATGAGAACCAGGGCTTTGGCCGTCTCAAGTGATACGCACTTTCAGAGTAACTCTGCAGAGACACTGGGCTTGTAAAACTGTTGTACAACTAAAAACTTAGGGCTTGAATTAAGTTCTTGTAAAAAGTTAACAAGGGAGCTACAGTATTGGTTGATTATGACTATTTGGATCAGGATGCAATTAATTTTTTCTCTAATTCCTGAGTTAAGGGATTTTGAAGAAACTGAAGGGCAAAAAAAAAAAGTGAAGATTTGAATTTGAAAAATCTGAAGAATTAATTTGACCCTTGTATCTTTCGATTATTGCAGTGTTCAGAGGCTGAATTGTAAAGTTGTGCATCTAATTACATTATGTAGTTGGTCTTCAAAAAGCTATGGCTGTATGAACTAAATGTTCCCCAAGCTACAGAAAACAGTGGGAAATGAAAAACTTGGGATACATATGGCTTGTTCTTTCTCAAGAACTTTCACTCTACTCTTTTGTTTTCCTTTTGTTACTTTGACAGCCTGTCTCTATTTTCTATACATCACTCTAATACACATAGAGGAAAAGAACTGGACTTGTATTTAATACATATATATAATATATTGTATATAGCATGATTTTTCACTTATTGGGGCCCATTTATCTGGAAAATGGAAATAAAATTTTTGAGTGAACACTGAAATGTACTTGAGAGGGCAGGCATCTAAAGCAATTTTGCCTATAAAGTAATGAAGAGTGCTTTGGTGGTTTTGCTGCTTTTTTGAGAGTTTTCATATTTGTGCTACAGCTTAGTCTTGCAGCAATGTTGTTTGGCTTTTGAACTTAACGTGACCAAAACTGTAGGGCTCTGACTATTGCAAACAAAGTCTTATCCCAAAGGAATTTCATTCTGAGGACAGGCATGCTAATACAGCCTTTCAGAATTTGACGAACTCCCCCTCAAATCTTAGGAAGGAAATGCATTTTGCTAATAGTTCCTATGGTAACATATTACAGACTTGCCTATTGTATTTGTCCGCTTAAGTAAGCTTCCTAACAAGAGCCTGCTGCTGTAAACACATATTGCATTAGACTGAATGAAAAAACCCCACCTGACTCTTAGTATTCTACTTGCTTTTAGCCATAAAGTTCAAATTATAGCTTGGAACATTTCTTTTTCTGGTAATACCAGCAGATGCAGTGACTCAAGGACGTGATTTAAAAATGAAAGCAAAGAAAACAAACCCAAAACTTAAAGAAGATTATAAAGAATCTTTCCTTTCAGAATTATTTTCAACACAGATCAGTTCTTGTGTTTCAGTGCTTGTTTTCACAAGTCTTGTACTGACACAAGTGAGGGACTTCAAGGAAGGAACAGGTATGGAGCAGTGGACTACAGCATCATGAGGAGGAAATATTTGTCAAACTGTGTTCTCCCAGATTTCTTTATTTGAAGAATATGGTCCTTTATTACTGTGTGCAGTTTCAAAGGATTTAGGTCCACAGACTAGAATTATAAACTTGATTTTCCTGAAAGATGATTACTGCATACAGTTTAAATGCTCCAAATACTTGATATGGCTGCCCATTTTCTTTTTAGAGGCAAGAACCAGAGCTGTTACCCTGAAGAGGGAATGGAAGAACAAAACTTGGCAGAAGTAGTCTTTCTTCTATGTATTTGAAAGCATTCGGCACTGTTCGCTCTGCAGGCTTTATTGCCAAAGTAAATATCTGACTTGGAACCTGTCCTCAAAATCCTGAGCAGAAAGGGCACAAGTGTTTTCATTTCCCATTGTTGTGTTGTCTGATGCAAATAGTTTCTGTTTTTTCAGGGGAAGCACCTCCAGCTGCATTGGGCTGGAGTTGCCATTTTCAGCAGTCATACTTAAATTTCCTGGGAATTGTTGTAAATTGATAAATGTCTTGCCCCATCTTTTCAATGTGGCTTTGAAATTGTGAGAAACCAGTTGTTGCTTACATGAAGAAATCTGTAAGTTTAGATTATCTTTATCATGCAGAATGGATCTGATTTAAAAAATACAACTTTGGCTGTGATGCACTGCTTTCCTCCAGTAATGTAGACCCCTTGCTTAACTTTATATCCTGGAGAACTGGGTTTTCTTAAAGGATTGACCGTTGTTTTAAATGCATTATTCAGTGATGTTTTTCTTCAGTTGAACTGTTATGTGCTGCTGATAATGCAATAATGTACAATCCTTTCAGCACGCCCATAAATCAGTAGGTGTTCTGTAAATATATATGTACACATATGTAATGCTCTCTGTTTACTGATTATGAAACCATGTAATACAGGTTGTTGTTGGCTTATGCTGAAACTTCTTGAAAGAAGCCTACTTTGAAAATGTGTTGCTGTTGAAGCTAATATTATGATTCAGGTACTGTCTTTCAAAAGTACTGCATTTCAAATTTGTTTTAAGAGACACATAGGTAAATCCTGCTGTATGGTGTTATCTATACTAATGTGTGGTGTCTGTTTAGGAAAACTATTGGGTATTTCCATAAACCTTAAATGTCTGCATCTCCTCATTGGCCACTGCCCCCAATCAACTTAAGTGCAATTTGTTACACAGATGGCAGTCTTTTTAATTCTGGTGTCCCAGGGCTACAGCTTATGGTTTTAGACATATTATGAATGAGAAATCATTTCTAAAATTAACATGGACTCAAATTACTTTTTGCCTTTTAACTAAAAGCTTTGTGTCTTAACTGGAGAAGTTGGGTGCGTAGTTGTGCATACTAAACTCTTTTCTTTCCCTTCCCACATGTTAGACAGAGGGAAGGGCCGGCAGAGGCAAGCTATTTTGGGAGAGCATCCATCATCATTTAGACATGATGGTTATGGTAAGTAACATAGGATGGCAGGTGGTTATGATTTCTTTGTATGTAATGTGGAATTCTAAATATTCAATCAATGCTGAACTGTGGACCATTACAGCATGAGTAGTTGTGCTGTATGTGCTGTTGGTCCACGTTCTGAAAATGCTAGTGATGGACTGAAATCTATGTGCACTGTTGCAATACCTCTTCCTTTTGTGGAGAGCATCCAGCTTTACAAATTTATCCCTTGGAAGAATATTTCCTTTCAATTGCTATCACCCTAGCAATAGATGGAAAATGACATCTATATTGGGAAAGCAGTTTTCTTCTAGAAAATGGCAACACAGCTTGATCAATGGTTTCATGCAGCACAGAGCATGCAAGAATTGAGCTTTGTGTTTCTTCTAATTTAGCTAATTCTGAAAAGTTACAGCTGTGTGACTGTATAAGAATGATGTTTTGGAATCAGTGCTATAAAGTGCCACAGTTGTTACCAATGCTGTCTGTAAATGATGTTCTGTGACTTTCGTGTGTTGGGACTTCAGTTTCTCAACCCTGAAGTTCTTGGTCCCAGTTAGATGTGACTTTTCTAGTTATTTTCTCTCAGCTGTCAGATGCAGTGTGATTTGTCTTGCCTCTTTACAATGTAGGTTGACGTTCTACCTACTCTTTCCAAAGGTTCTTCAAATCTCCAGAATTTCCAAGTTCTACCTTGTATTCACTGATGTTCTTTTTTCATTTTTCTGACATATCCTTCTCTCTTAAGAAGCGTGGCTGTCTCTTCCTATACCACTGTTTAACTGTCATCACTGCTTTTTTTGCTGGGGAAAAAAGGACAAAAGGTTCCTTTTATACTTGGCTTGTGTGAATTTCACATTTTATTTGTCTCGGAACAACAGGGATCATCTTGTCTGTGACACTGATGTTTCTTATAGAAAGGTATTGCATACTAGTAATGCTTCTTCATGGGGAAAAAAAAGGAGAGAGAAAAAGATTGTTTATTTCAGTGAAACTTGTCACTTTAGTGGAACATAGATTGGCTTCATTTTGCATTAATGCAGGGGTTTAAGCCTTCCTGTTTCTTCCAAATGAGCTGTTTGTGGAAAGGCAGTTTTCTGATTTCATGTCTTGTCTCTGGAAAAAGAGCTGTGTCATTGCCTCTGCTGTCCTCTGGCTAAGAGTTCATTCCTTCTGGTTTGTTTTCCTTACTATGTAATATTCTTTCTTGGTGTCATGGAGCTCTACAAGTAGATATGGCAATACTGCTGAAGGTTTATTTTAAATATTTCTTTCGATAGGTTTATGTTCAAGTGTTTTGTGTGATGCAGAGAAGATACTATTTTTATAATAAATGAAATACCTTTTTTCACTTGTGTAAAAGCAATACCATGAAACAGCTCTTTCCTCCTTGTCTGCTGATGTAGGAAGAGACTTGCAACATCAAAGGGAATAGAAGAACAGAGTGGGGTTTTTTATTTGGTTGTTTTTTGTGGATGGTTTAGGTTTTTGATGGTGTGGTATTGTTTTTTTCCTTAATTGGAAAAAGAATTAATTGAAGCTGCTGTTATGTTTTTCCCCCACCTTCTTTAAACACCCATTACGTATGTGGGCTTTAATGCAAGATTAAGTAGTGAAACTTGTTTCATACAATATGAAAGCGTGGTCTTTCATCTCCTTAGGGTCACACGGTCCTTTGTTGCCCTTGCCAAGCCGGTACCGAATGGGGTCTCGGGACACTCCAGAACTTGTTGCTTATCCGTTGCCCCAGGCATCCTCCTCTTACATGCATGGTGGAAATCCTTCTGGGTCAGTTGTCATGGTTAGTGGGTTGCATCAGCTAAAGATGAACTGTTCAAGGGTCTTCAACCTTTTCTGCTTGTACGGAAACATTGAGAAGGTAAGGTGTAATTTATTAGAAACTTGGAAACTACTATAGTAATTTTAATTGTTTTGGAAAAAGCCTGGCTGAGATGGTCTAAGAATATTTCCTGATAATTTATAAAACTCTTGCAATGTCATTTTTTTTCTCTTGTCTATCTTAGGTGAAATTTATGAAGACTATTCCAGGCACAGCACTGGTTGAAATGGGTGATGAGTATGCTGTGGAAAGAGCTGTCACACATCTCAACAATGTCAAGTTATTTGGAAAGAGACTTAATGTCTGGTAAATATGTTTTATCAGATTAATAGTCTACCAGTGGGCAGATGGAATGAGGTTCCAAACAGACAATATCTCATTGTTCTGTTATTGATTTGCAACTATTATTTATTTATTGTTATTTATTTCTATTAATAAAACATATGGGAATTACATGGATTGGCTGTTAATAAACTGTATCCCCTAATAAGTCTTATACATCCTTTCTTTTTTAAGGAAAGGTATCAAATCCAACCCATCTGTTCTCCCTTTTCAAACTGTGATTAAGAAATGTCATCTCTGTTCTGGTCAGATCAATAATCTGCATGCAAAGTATGCAAGTCTTAATTATTTAAGAAGCTTTAACTATATATATCCTTAAATCCCAGTGTTTCCAAGCAGCATTCAGTAGTTCCAAGCCAGATATTTGAACTGGAGGATGGCACAAGTAGTTACAAGGATTTTGCAATGAGTAAGAATAATCGCTTCACCAGTGCTGGCCAAGCATCTAAGAACATTATCCAACCACCCTCTTGTGTGCTGCATTATTATAATGTTCCCCTGTGTGTAACTGAAGAAACATTTGTAAAGGTAGGCAGTTGAAATGACTGTGACATGCAGTGCTTTGGGGCTCTATCATAGCTTTACACTGTGATACTTTTAAAGAGAAGTAACTGAGAGAACTGTTTTTTAAAATAGGTTTGTAGTGTCTATAGAAGCTGTTATATTTTCACAATTCTGGCATTGTTCTCTCTTGGAAATAAAGTTGAGGAGCTTAATGTGTTGGGTTTTTTGTGGAGGAAGGGGAAAAGACTCACATAAATCCAAATACAGGGAAAGTTAGAACTACAATTCATGAAAGATTTACTGACTCCTTGAGATGATTACTGTAATGACTGATAGGATGTTTCAGAATGGAGAGGTGCATGCACCTGAAACAGTTTGCACAGTTCAGCCTTAAATGAACTCTGTATGCTTAAAACATGCAATACTGGGCTTCTTGAGTGGAGGCAGTGGTAAAATTGATGATGATCCGGTTAGTTCTTTTTCAGTTCAATATAAAGATGTTTTTTGAAGCTCTGTCTGAGGGTTAATTCAGGCTCGTAAGTGGTGTGCTTGTAAGTTCAGCTTCTGAGCTGCTGTATTGAAGTGGGCATGTCAAAAAGAAGAGCTTGTTTTTATTTAGAAACGTTGCTTCAGGTAGTAGTGATAGCAGCACTCTAACAATTTTTGTGCCAAAATATCATTTCTCGTGGGACAGCACAGGCACAGGAGCCTTGTTTTGCATACTACAGAATGGTGTTCTAAAGAGTTACCAATAAAAACATATTTTGAAAACAGTAATTTGCCATAAATTCTTGGAAGCTCTCTTAGAGTCAGTATCTTAATTTTTGGAACTTAGAATTTTTGCTAATTTGTTTATGTGCATTCTTAGTGGAGTTTTACCTCTTTATTTTTGTGACAGTTATGTGAGGATCATGAAGTTCTCAGCTTTATTAAATACAAAGTGTTTGATCCAAAACGTAAGTAAACTTTGACCTGTTTGGGGAATTACTTGAATTCCAGTTTTGGTAAGAACAAAGGAGACTTCACTGATCCCCTCCTTCTTTCTCTTTATTTTATTTCTCATTTTGACAGCCTCTGCCAAAACACTGTCTGGTCTGTTGGAATGGGAATGTAAGACAGATGCAGTGGAAGCTCTCACTGTACTTAATCACTACCAGATAAGAGTCCCAAGTAAGTCAATTTTGGTGATTTTACTGCTGTAATTTTTTTTTTCTTTCATGGTGATACTACCTTTGTAAAAGGTGAGGCTTCAGCACCTCAGTCTGCAGCTACAAATGGTGTTATGTCTATTTATGCTATTTTATATATATATATATTACATACACATAATGTACTATATATAATAGAGTATTCAGTCTCTAGGTTCTGTTAGTTTCTATCTAAATGGCATTCGTTCTTCTTAGGGTTTGAGTCAACCTATAGAACTCAAAATATGCTCCACAATTTTTGGAAGTTCTGG